AAAATAATTCTGGCAGATATGCTCTTTTTAAAATAGTTTATGCATGCAAAAGCAGCAGTGGAGATAAGGTGATGGGAAAGGTGAATCAAAGCAAAAGTCTCTTTGTGTGGGGTCATGTTTTGTTTCAGAGATGTGCTCAAAGAAAATGTAAAGATATTCCCTGGATTTGCCACCACATTTAATAGGTCATTTCAGGCTTGAGGAGAGGATTCCTGGAACTTTGTAGTAGGGCTTAAAATCTGCTTTTTTGAAAGACCCCATGGGCAGAGGTACAAAGACTGATTTACCCACAACATCCCAGCCTTGATTTGGGTTTTATTTGGGGCCAGGCTGGATAATAGTGAGGGTTCATTGCCTGCTCAACCCTTCACCCTCCCCTAGAGCTGGCTAAAAAGGTTCTACTCCGTGTCCAAATGCAGAGCCCTCCCCTCCAGGTAGCATCTCAAACACAGGCGTCGTTCCTGGCGGTCGCTGTGGGAGGTTTTGTAGCACAGACGTAGTTTTATGGTTATTATTTATATTTATGGTTCATTGGATGCAGGCCCCCAATTTGCTTCATAGCTCTCCAATGTCAACAATTATCAGGCAGCTGCTAATTGGGGCTGGATCAGAAAATCAGCAGCCTCCTGTTGCTGCAAATCTCTGCAGGTGACATTTCTGACACCTCCAAAATCAGTGGCAACAAGCCCAACGACACTGAGAAAATCAGGAATATATCCTGTTCTCCTACACCCATCTCCAGTGACAGGTCTGCAAAAGCAGAATGAAACCTGATTTCCACACTGATAAAAGCTAATGAAGCATGGAGGAGCATCATTAAGCCATAAGCAGTTTTTTCATTAGAGACTGGATGGAAGGAGGGAACCACTGGGTTTTTTTCATTGGTTTATTTTCTTAACTTTTTTTTTTTCAATTTTTAAATTTTTTTTTTGTAAGTGGTTGTGTAACTGAGTGAGTTTGTCCTGGAGAATTCAGCCTTTGGAAAAGGACTAGAGGATAAGAGATAGAGACAAAATATAAGGAGAGGAGAAAAAGAATGACTGCATCCTTAGGAGAAAAAAGGGTAAGAGGATTAACTTTTTGGACAACATTTCTTAAATTTCAAATTCTTGCAAAAGTAGCAAAGAGTGGAAAATAAAATGTAGACCTAACAGTAATTTCATTCCAAACCTCCACCCCCTCAATGACAAAAAAAAAAAGGTCAGATGTAATTTTTGGTCTCAAAACTTTTTTAAGACTTTTAAATTTTGCTTGAGTATAAGCCTTTAAGTGAAGTTAACCTTTTAAGCTAAATTTAATTTTCCTGTGCATTTTCTGTGAGGGAAAAATCTTACAAAAATAGCATTTTCCACCTGCTGTAACAGTGGCAGAGACCAACACGTGCTCTATGATCCTTGCTGTCCTTGCTGCCACCTGTCCCATTGCTCCCAGGTGGCAGATCCTGCAAACCTGGTGCCAGCTCTAGTGTAGGAGGGGCAGGAGTTGGATACACCCAACCTGTTCATTCTGCAGGCTGGGATGCCAGGTCAGGGGCATTTCTGTGAGCTGAGCAAACAGCTGATGTATGTGCACTGGGAACGGCTTCAAAATGTGCTTTTGATAGATTTTAAATAATAAGACRCTCGTGTTTTGTGCTGTTTTCTGAGAAATTGCTAAATCTGTCGTGYTCTGCTCACGTGCCACGCGGGGAAGTTGCAACGCCCCACCCAAGCTGATTCCCCAGCCCTGTATTTCACCTTCATTTTTGATGGCTCTGTCATTTTAAGCCTTCAGATAATAGGCCATTATTCTCAGAGCTGCTATTATATTTTATTAATGGTGGGGGGGAAGGAATTTATTGTCACAAACTCTGAAAGATTCRCACTTGGAGCAGTCACAGCTCTGGAAAAGGGAGATTCATTCCGCTGCCTTGATGGATGGGTGTAGATCTCACCTCTTCCCTGCTCTTTTCCAGGTCCCACCTGCTTTTGTGAACCATGGGGACAGGTCCCCTCCAGGCTGGTGGCAGGAGCAGCGGTTTGGTGTCCCAGGAATTGTGCAGAGTGGGATCAGTGSCAGCTGCAGTTTGGGTTTTGGGGATGGAGCCCAGAGGAGCTGAGTTCTGACAATCTGAGCTCTYCCCTCGCATCTGTGCRTGTGGGTGTGTGTGCACGTACAGACAGCCAGAACAAGTCTGTTCCTGTTTGGGATTTCAGTGTCAAAAGTGTATTTTGTAAGAGCTGGCCGGGCTCCTGTTTCCACATTACGAACCCAAAGCAGCTCGATGGTTTTTTTGGCTTTTCCCAATCGTGGCGTGGTGGTGTTGCTCCCTTCAGAAAAGAGAAGGAAGCAGAACCTCCCTGGAGGAGTGACAGCAGCTCATCCTGGTTTGGTAAGGCTGGGCATCACTCAGTGGGGTGACCAAGGTGTGACTGCAGTGAGGAGAAAAGGAAAAACCAGTGCTGGGGGGTGGGGACCAGATTGTAGAAAGGATTCTGCTCCCCTGGTGCTTGCTAGAAAGGGATGAGTACAGACTTGTTGGATCCAGCTGTGTCTCTCCCTTTGTCTCTGTACAAATTGTACCTTCTCCAACCCTTCAGAAGCACAGGACAAAGATGGTTTTGTTGTGTTTTTTTTTTTTTTTTTTTTTTACCCTGAAGTGCCTGAACACCTGAGGCTAAAAATCCTCTTCTCTCTTCTGCCTCCCCTTTTTCCCCTTCATTTGTTCTCCTTGGTGGGGGGTCAGCTGCTAATTGCAGTGTCCTGCAAATGCCCATCATTGTCCAGTGAAAAGCCTCTTCTGGGGGTGTTTTAAGCACCATCATACAGCTGGGATGGGAAAAGGAGTAAGGAGTGTTGGAGGAAAGTGGTTTTGTGGCTGGTCTGCTTCTGCTGGCAGGAGGAAGACGAAGAGGAACACAACTGCTCCAGTCTGTGCATTAACCCATCCTGCTGCCTCTGGGGCTGGAGCATCTGGAGAGAGAGGGACACAAACAGCACGAGTTGGCCCTGAGGGGAAATCAAACACCTGTGCTGGGAATCAGCTTTTAGTTACCRGCCATTGCCTGACTGGTTTGGGTTTTTTCTTGTCTCTGACACATTTTTCTCCTGCTCGSTTTTCTGTCAGACCCAGAACAAATGGTGTTTAATCTGCACACACAGCCCACAGCTGGGATAAATGTATGCATTCCTGCAGCTTTGACTAGCTTTAGGTATTTATTTGGGGGGGAGCAAAAGTGCTTCCATATTCCTGGATAAGGGTTGTGCATTTTGTGCAAAGGAGGGATATAAATTCACAGCTAGCTATTRTAGCAGTAACAGCTGGTTTTATTAGGCTTGTTTGTATTCTAAATGGCCTGTTGCAGTCACCAAGATGCTGGTTTAGAGTGGGAAAGAGGATGCTGCAGGAGCACAAGTGAGCTGTGGGAATCCCCCATTGATGCCTTAGAATTTCAGTTTCTCTATTTTTCATGTCTCTGTAATTCTTCAGTGTTTAACTCCAGACTCCACAGACAGTGCTGAGCTCCTGCTCTCCCATTTTTACACAAAACAATTCCTCTGCAGCCCCAAACTCAAGGACACCTCCCTGGGCCAGGCCCCAAGAGATGGAAACAACAGAGAATTGGGGGAGCCAAGTTGGAGTTTTTGACTGCATTGGCTGCAGCTGCAATTGGAGGATTCAGCCCCGATGTGCAAATGGACAAAAGTGAGAAAGGGTGAAAAACCATGAGCCATTGTCCGTTGTGGGTGCAGCCCCTGAATGCACCCTTCAATAAATAGAACTGCTTTTTATTTTCTCCATTTTGTCCAGCTTCTCTTTTAGATAAGCCTGTGAGACATCACCGTGGCTGAGTTCTGGGGTGGTGGGWGCTGGAAAATGACTGTCCTGACACCCAGTCCATGCTCTGAGCTACAGAGGGGTCTGCCTTTACCTTGTGGTGAGTGGGGGAATCATCATCCCTGRAAATGTGCAAAAAYCATRGAGATGTGGTGCTTGGGAATGTGGRWGGGTGKTGAACATGGCACTGCTGGATTAATGGATTTGATGATCTTAGACATCTTTTCCAACCTGAATGATCCATGATTATTAATGCAAATGCTTCAGTGCCATGAACCAACATTGACAAATTGATATCTGATATGGAGGGATTTGAAGATGRTCTTTCCTAGAAGAAACACTCCCAAACATCATTGCTGATGGAGTTGGAAATAGAAGTGGGATTTCTTGACTCCCTGTTCAATCTGCAACCAGCAGATTTAACTGCTGAAAGAAATCAATTGGGAAGCCAACGGGTGCTTTGATATTTTAGCTGTTCATTTTCAGTGGTTTTAGTCGTGTCCTTTTAAATCATGAACTTCAAAAATTCCTGGTTGGCTACAAGGAGTATGATCTGTTTTTCAAAGCTGTTAAGAATRTTTTGAAAATAAGAATAAGCATGTCAGATGCCCAAATACACTCCCAGGTGCCCAGGTCTAAGCACCTGGGTGTGCATATTTTGCCTTTATTATCTGCACCTTTAAAAAGAGGAAAACAGCTACCACTGCTGCTCATTACTATCATTAATCCAAGCCATTTGAAGGTAGTTTATTTTGTTATGAATCAGTCAATTAATTCTGTTTGTTAATTTACTCTGTTGYAATWTATCAGGCTAAAGAAATTTTCTGTACATTAACACAATAAATCTTGATTTGTTGCTGCTGTGTTCTGAGTAACCCACAGCCAGCAGAAGTCAGATTTATTAATTTTTTCCATTTTTCTCTGGTTAAGTCCAGTTCTTTTGCAGTTTCTTCTGTCTYTCTCCTGATTCTTCAATTTTTAAGGCCCCATCACTTCTGYGGATGAGGTTCAAAAGATGTTCTTTGGGGAGAGCTGGTTTGCATCCTGAACTCAGGAGCAAGGTCCCAATTTGCAAACAAGGAGCTGCTGGTACTGATTATTTTTGTTGCTTATTTATCTCTTAATAGTTCTTCCAATCCAATTAAAACCATTGCTGTTCCTTGCAGGTGGCATGGATCTTGGTTTGGATTTCAGGAGACACAAACAGCTGCAGCTTGTGAAGATGACGCTTCCGTGAAGGGTAAATTCACTTTTGAAAATTCACCATGAAATTCACCTTTGTTCCAAAAAATCAAATGAAAAGAAATGCAGAGACTGTGGAGCGATTGCAAGCCTCCAGCGGTGAAGATTTAAGATGGTAAATATTGTAAACCTTTTAATAACCTTTATATCAAACTCCATTTTAATGATGATGAATGAATTAAGCCTTGAATTACCAATAATTTCTGAGAAAGCTGTCAAGAGAAAAACGTGCTCTAAAAAAAAAAAGTGCTTTAGAAAAAATAGAAAAAATAGAAATAGAAAAAAAAAATTAGTTAAAAAAGAAATCCCCATCCACTCTCAAATAGTTCCCTGAGAAAATGATCTTTAAATAGCTGAGGGCAATTGGCATAATGATTTAAAGTTGGGCTGGGGAGCTGCAGGTCCAAGGCTGAGCTGTGAGACAGAGATTTCTCTAATGAGAGGCGTCACCGTGACTCTGCACCAACTCTGTGTTTGCCCAGTGACGTCTGCACTCACCAGAACCCAGGGGAGGCAATTAGGAGGGCTGSAGAAAGAGGGAATAATTTCACCTGTCAGGTTTGGAAAGTGGGCAGCTCTGTGTGTGAAAGGTCCAGAAAGGAGYGAAATGGAGAGGTTTGGCAGGGACTGTCAATCCCGTGGTTGGAGGTGGGGAAGGGTTTCCAAACCCACAAGATTTATTTGTGGAATGGGTGGGTAGGTGGGAGGCAATGTTAGCAGGCTTTACCCTTCAGGGCTTTCATCTGCTTTAAATTCARTAGAAAATATTGCTAATTGTAGCAGCAGGCAGGCAAGGTACCTTGTACCATGTACATCTTACAGGTGGCTTCATTACATTTTTATTTAAAATTTTTCCTCTGATTGTTTTTCTCCCCCTCAATTTCTCAGAGTGTAAGGAATCACATGTAGAGAAGACTCCAAATTCAGGCAGCTCACAGGCCTCCCAATGGCACAGCACTGCCCAGAATTTCTGCAAAGCAGAGCTTTCCTTTTGGGATGGAAAATKAAATGCTGCTAAGCTGGTGTTAAGATGTGCAAAAATGATCCTTTCTCCAGGAGCTGCTGACAGCAGGATGGTGCACGTTCCTGCACTCACAGGGAGGTTTGGCTCAAGTCTGATCCCAACTTTGTGATCAGCTCGGTCTCTGGTGAGTGATGAACCCCAGATCTTTCATCTCATTTCTTTTTGGGAGGTGTGGATCTACTGTGTTTTAGATCCMAGGCAGATAAAGCTGCTGAGTGTCTCCAAAACTCCAAATGCAGAGTACTTWTATTGTTAGTTTCTTAATAATTTTCCCTTTGGATGTGTTGGGGTGATTTGTTTCCTTTTTTTTTCTCCCCAAACAAACCTTCCACCTTATTTCAGCACTTCCTTGGGGTGTGTCTGTGTTTCTTGCTGTGGAAGGGAGCACTGGGGACAGAACCTTGGCCATAAACAAAACTTCAAACAGCCTGAGCCATCAGTGATTATCAGGGATAATTATCAGATATTATCAGGGATTTCAAAGGGGCAGCCAAACCCCTCAGGAACTCAGTTCTGGTGCCCCGAAACAAACAGCAGTGATGAGTTTGGGTGTCCTTGCTTCTCCTCAGCACCCACACAGGCACCTGCCCTGCCCCTGCCCGAAATTACTGCCCAAAATCAACTCATGGAATCACAGAATAYCCCCAGSTGGAAGGGACCCACCAGCTCTTGGTGTGAATAGGTGGAACAACTGCTGCAGCCAAGCAAATTTATCATCAAGCAGTGCTTTGAGCTGACACACTTCTGTGACGCTCAGGCAGTTATTTTGGGGGGAATGTAYATGAATTAGAGTTTAAAAACTTGGCTTGAGCCAAGGGCAGAGAAGATGCCTCACTTAGCCCGAGGAATGCTTTTGACAGAGACACATTGTCGCCACATCTCTTGGCTGGGAATAAGTTGTACCTTTCCTGCAAATGGAAATATTTCTCTGAAGTCCAACAGCTGCAGGAACAGCAACTTCTCTCTTGATCACGTTTTYGGTTTTAAAACCCATTTCTAGTCCAGCAGCGGGGAGAAAACCCGGCGCTCATTCAAATGAGCTCTTTAATGGAAAAAGTCCCATTAAATCTGAACCAATTTCATGATCTTGTCTGAGTCATGACTTTTTAAAGACTGGRGGCTGAGGCTGCAGTTAACATTGCCTTGGCAGTGCTCAGTGCTTATCTGTGAGTGGAAAGGTGATGGTGGGGAAGGGTTTGTGGTGTTATTTTTCCAAGGGCCWGATCATTTAGCTCTCTAATTTGGGAAGCAGGACTATCTCTGGCTGGCTCTTATCACCCTTTCAGCGAGGCAGGCAGCAGCCAGCACATTACTCAGCGTTACCCCGTGGGTATCTGGTGTCTGAGGACGTGTCACAAAACGTGGCAGCCAGAACAGGGAAATCTCTCAGCGCTGGGCACAGGGGGATGCCTTCAGCCCCAAACGGTGAGATTTGTCCTCTGGATGTGTCCTCATCACCTGAGAGAGCACTGCTCTGTTGTCACTCAATTTGTTACTTCAGGGGGCTGAAGGATGGGGAGGGGATACACTGTGATATAGGAAAATTCCCTAATTTACTTTTTAACTGCAACTTTATTTATAGTTAGAGAAAGACTTAGATTTTTTTTTTTCCCTGTTTTTTTGCTTTCTTCTCCCTGATAGCTGGTTGTGAGGCACCAGGGAGAGATTTAACCTCTTACTGGTACTTTTTTCAGCTTTATCTTCCCCACAAGGTTTCCATGTGGGTAGCTTATGTGGGTAATTTTTTTCCTGTTTACAGATGGAAAACAGAGACATGCAGTCCAGAGGTGTTTGTGGGGAGCCTTCTGACTCAAAACAAAGCCCTCAAACCACTCCAAAAWTACTAGAAAAGTTCTCTCCATGCCTTCTGGTGGATCTGATGGATTTTCAGATGCTTGTGATGAAGATGAAATGGTCACTGCAGAGAGCCATGGGTAGAGCCAGGAGGCTGGGCTGGCAGGAAGGATGACCAGGTTGGGTTTTTGGTTTTTTTTTTTGTGTGAATGGCACATCCCAGGGTGACCGAGCAGCACCTGTGCCTTGGTTTCATCACCCTTCAATCTGTCCCAGTGCAGGCTGGCCCCTGAGCAGGAACCCACTGGTGCGTGTGGAGAGGGCAGCAGAGGCAGSAGGGGAACAATATTGAGTCACAGCAGTCAAGAAGGATCAAAGTTTGGCTATTTTTGACACACAAAAGGGTAAGTGATGCTGAACTCTCTCTAGACTGATTCCAGCTGAACGCAAAGCATTTTAACCTCTTAATCCTCACTTGTGAGCTGTAGCCCAGACACTGAGGGCTTTGTGGCTTTTTTGGAGATTCTCTGCTGAGTGTGAGCCTCGTCCCAAGGGAATAACACCCACCCCTGGCTGTGTGGGGTGGTGAGCACTGTGTTAATCCTGAAAGCTCCCTGTTTTTTTTTTGCCTCCCTTACTGACTCTGAGTGGAATTAATGGGAATTCTTGCTGAGAAAAGCAATTGGGTTGGATGGGGCTTGGAGCAGCCTGGTCTGTGGTGGAAAGTGTCCCTGTCCATGGCAGAGGGGTTGGAACAGGATGATCTTTAAGGTCCCTTCCACCCCGAACTGTTCTTTGCTCTATGAACTGTGGGTGCAATATCTCATTTCCCATTTTGATTTGTGGAAGCAGGACCCAAATTTCGCCTCAGTCTCCTGATTGTGCCCCCAAGCCCCCTGAGTTTCCCCTCAAAGAAGCTGTTCCTGGGCTTTCCTCTGTCACCTTCYCCCCTTGGCCATTCTCTTATCCCCTCACCAAACACTGAAATGTTCCTCTGTGCTCTCAGCACATGCACTGGTGTTCTCCATTCTCCATGAATCCACATCCCCTGGTTGTAGAGACCAAAGCTCTGTTTTGGTTTGAGCCTTGTTTGCATTATTTTTGGTTTACATATTTGGGCTTGACATAAAACCCAGTGGAGAGAGACTCTCACTCAGCCAAGGCCATTTCTGCATTTGCTGCAGATGAGTGTGGTGCTCCAGGGAACCACTTTTATTCCAGGCTTTTCCAGTGATTCATTTCTGGATGCTGCCTGCGTGATTCCCTCTGGGCCTCAGTTTCCTGTTCTGTAAAATGGAGATAATGCCCTTTCATGGCACAGGGCTGCTTTGAAGCCTTTACAGAATTACTCTGATGTGTTTGGATGAAAGTTTCTATAAAGCAGATTTAAAAAAGCATGCAGCTCTCATTGAGGGGTTTGTATGGAGTGATCAGGACCCCAGAATTACTTCCCAGGATGAATGTGTCTGTGTTGAGCCCTCAGACAATGCTGAACACTGAAACAATATTCATGTAACTCTTCTAAAAGCATCCACTGTTGGTGCCCATGGCAGGGTTTGCTGCTATTCATTCTTTTTGTTTATTTTATGTAAATCCTTTTCCTTCTCATTGAAAGCACAAACAAGAAAAGGGATGACAAAAAAAAATTTTTTTGCTCTGCAAGTCTCATAAAATTGATTCTTCTTGAAGAAGTTTTTTAGCAGGAGCAACCCTCTCTGCCCATCTGTGTGATTTTAAAAGAAACTCTCCTTTTTCTCCTGACTGTCATATTACGGGGAGAGAAAAAGAAAAAAAAAAATCCTGAAAGCAGAAATGAAAGAGATGCAGAATTTTTGTCTCCTCGCCTTTCTCACTCCGGTCCCTTTATGTTCTCCCACCGCCCCCTCCTCCATCGCCCTCCCTCCTGCCCTGCCTCAGTTCCCATTGAAATGTCAAATGCAGCAGTTGTCTGCAAGTGAAAGAGGGGCTCCCTGGTGGGAACAGCCTGCCCTTCTAACCTGAAGGCCTCGGCTGTTCTCTTCTCCCCTTTTTGGTGTTTYCCATCCCACTTTCTCAGCAGATGTTGTGTGGGGCAGCACGGGCTGTAAAGGAATGAGTTTCTTTTCACCTGGCCATGTGAATGGGCTGGCACAGAAACCCTGGCTTATTCTCTCAGACTCTGGCAACAGCTTACACAGAAAGAGATTGTTTCAAGGGCTGTCTCTTTTTTTTCTTTTTTTTTTTCAGACGAAGATAGGGAAAAAAGGCTGAGAGACGCTGGCTGTATTTTAAGCTTCCTCCTTGGGTGCCAAAGGGAGTCCTTGGAGTTTTGTTGCTGCTACTTTTGTTCCTTTTATAGTTTCCATTCAAGCCCCAGGCTTTCAGCTCCCCTTTGTCTTAGTCCTACTTTTCCCAAGCAGAGTTGACATGAGAATTGGTTCAGAAAGATGGTGGAGGTTCATCCAGGAGCATTGCCCCATTTTCATCCAGGGCTGTAGGTTTTGACTCCTTGGTACAAATCTGGAAGAGARTGACATTTCCCATGCTTCTGCTGGGAAAATATTTAGTTTCAGACGAGCTCTGTCTGAAAACATGTGACAACGGTGTGCAAAAATGCACAAAGTCAGTCCTGATGCTTTTTGTCACTGTGCTACTTGAGATGGGAGAGGCACCTTAAAGGAGGAGGAAATAGGGGGTGGCTGACTTTTCACCTTTTCTCCCTATTTTTGGCTCTCTGTTTATCTATTTAATGTGGGTGGTTGWTTTCTGTAGCCTGCTCTCTCTCCCTTACCAGGACCTTGGGCATCTCAAATTCAGTCAAGTGACACCAGGCAGGTAYCCACGAGAGAGACTCCCTCTCAAGAAAAGATTCCTTTTCTTGGCACCTCCAGAGCACTGTCACTTACCCAGCTACATTTTTGGCCATGTCTCTGTGCTCTGAGCCCAAYTCATTATATCTAAACTTATAAATATATATATTCAAGAGCAAATTATGTACATGGCTTGTGAATAATTTGATTGCCRGCGTGAGAAATGCACACACTGCTGATCCTGAGGAATGGAGCTGTCGTTTGCTGATTTAATGAGTAAATAATGAGTTATTCTGAAATACTGTGGGGATATTATGCCAGTGGTTCTCTTTGGGCCCTTATACACATTTTAACTCCGGTTGGTTTTTTGTTGTGTGTGCGTGTGGTTTTTTGAAAATCTGAAGTTTATTTTTGCAGTGGTGCTTGGAAAGCTGTAAATGATCCACAAGGAATTAACAGACAAAAGTCTCTGGCTCTGCTCCACCCTATTGAAGTCGATGGCAAAGCTCCCATTGAATTCAGTGGAAGTAACAACCAGGGCCTGTGAGAGTAAACAATAAATCAGTTTTATAATCACAATATTTTGCTACGTCCTGTTCTCAGTGCTTTATGTGGCAGAAGTGTTAGGTGCTTGTGTGATGATGAAAGGCACAGACAAATCATTAACATCTCAGGTGAAATACGGGCTTGTGAGGGTGAAATTTCTAAATTTGAAAGCTCTGGGTAGGCTTAACCTTTCAGGCAGTATTTTGGAAACCTGCACTCCATACAAAGAGTTTGAGTTGTTGAGCTGCCTCTCCATCCCTCACGTAGCCACCAGGTACAGGAGAATATTTTCCCTTTCCTGTTTGTAAAAAGTGCACGTTTTAGAGACAGTGGAGTGTAGGAATCAGCAAATTGAAYCTTCTGCCTGGACAAGTGGACAAATGCCCACAAGTGTCACAAATCCCATTCAAAACTAASCTAAAGAGATGGATCATCTCCTGTCACATATCCTGCAAGTGCGGTGCCTGTGGGTAGAATTTTGCAGAAGCTTTTTTCCCTGGCACATCTCTGAGTCAAAATTATTCTGTTAAATAATAGGAAGGTATAAATAGCTCAGAGGTTTAGTTCTTATTCAGCCTGTTCTGCCAGTGGACTCCACATTATTTGGTGAAGGAAACAAATACCTGTATCTTACATTTTACACAGGGGAGCCCACGAATCCACGGCAYGTCCTGATATTCAAGGATAGAGTTCAGTCTTTTCCTAAGTCATAGCCTAGCATCTTATCCCCTGCCTTTTAAGGGCTTTATCCCTGAAACGTGGGCTGTGCATTGTGAAGTTTTCCTATTGATTCCTTCCCTGGAGTCGGTGCCTTTTGGAGGAGATGGGGCATTGCTAATTGCTTCAGCTCTTCTTGACTGTTACAGGGCACTCCAGCAGAACTGTGCTTGTGCTTTGTAAAATAACCCTTTGGCCTTGCAGAATGGGAGGATTTACAGGTTTAGCCTCCTTGATTTGTTTGGAATTATTCTGTATGAGCTATTCATCAGGGCTGCAACAGAGCTGAAGGTGAGGCAAGGTTGGTACTGGACTACCAAAGATGAGAAATAAAGTGCCATTGTTGCTCTTCGAGTGGTGGCAATGACTGAAATAAAAGACATCTGGGTAGGAAATAGCAGGCTGCTTCCAGGGAGCATCCATGGGGTACCTCAGCTTGCCATGAATGCTAGCCCTGCTAGGCAACCAGGAAAGGGATCTGCAGGCAGCCGTGAGCCAGGCCAAAGAGAGAAAAAGGAAAAAAAGCCTAACCCTGAGAAAAAAGGGATGCATTCTTCCTAATTGCACTTTGGAATTGAAGTCTTTTTATTCTCATCTTTTGTTTAATTTTTTCCCTTCCTTTTCACGCCCCAGCAGCAGCCCGTGGGTCTCAGTGCTGGGAAGGATTGGGTGGCCGTGTCACACCCTCCCAGCTCTGCCAGGCCTCCTTTTAGGGTTTGGGGGCTCCTTGTAGGAAAACTGCAGCCCCTCTGCACGTCCACTCACAGCGTGTGACCCTGGGAGCTGGGTCACACTGAGTTATGGCCGTGATCCTTGGGAAGGGAAGATGAAACCTGCCTGAATCGGGCTGTGGATGGTGGCAGAATTGCAGTTTCACCCAGGGATAAACATTCAGCCAAAACCGACAGGATTTTTGGAAGTGGCTGGTGGCTAACATCGAGTTCTGAGTGTTTTGATTCATACCCTGAGCAGCACTTTGAAGAAGGCAGTGGTGGACAGGAAGAGGTGAAATAGGACATGCAGGGCTTGGTGAGAAGTCAGTGACAGAGAATTGAATGTCCACATTGTCCCCCTCCCTTCTGTGCCGTCTTTTGTCTCAGCAGTTTGTACAAGCAGACTGAAAATCACTCAAAATCAAAGTATGGACAAATCAAAGCYCCTCTGGAGACAGAGAAATGTCTTTGGGCAAGATCTGAGAGGAGCTGGGGCRGCACAGGGCAGCAGGGCAAGAGAGGTGGCAGCACCAKTGAAAACACTCTGAGGTCGTAAGGAAACAGCACCAGGAGCTCTCTAAGTGAAGMGAGATCTTCCCCACAGTGATGGACAAACCTCTCACACACATTTC